TGTATTGAAAATGCAGATCTTGGAAGGGAGATCTACATGATATTTTTATACAATACGTCTAAGGAAAAAACAAAATATTTCGGAAATTGATGATTTATGTCTCGTTTAAGAACTATATTGAATCACCAATATTATATTATACATCTTGGACCTGGAATATATACCTACCCCGCCGCCGCAATCGACTCCTTTATAATATACATGTCTAGATCACGTTACACAGGCTGGTTAGTGGGCGGGTGGGACGGGCTCCGTCGGGACGTTTTGACCGCCGAAAGGTTTTGACGCGATTACATCGATAGAGGTAAAACGCGAAAACTCGCACGCGCAGTATTATTATTGGGCCCAGACCGGCGGCGGCGGACCCTCGCCAATTTCGAAACGGCGCACACCTATATATACCCTCACGCTGTAAGTATATGTGCCCAGAACACGCGCGACTATCACGTCGCACTGGCGGTCGTCGCGGGAAAAGCGAATTTATAAAAAAAAAATAATAATAATAATAATAATAATAACAATATACGTGCTGAAACGCGCAGGAAGCTTTGCGCAAGACATTTTCACAACCACCTGCGTGGCATCTATACCTAATATAGATAATAGTATAATATTATTGTATATAATATACTATTGTTACTATAAGTTCGGAAACACACGCTCGTTCGGCTTGTTCGAGGCGCGATTTCTGCAGCAGCAAAGTTCGACGACCCCGAACGTTTTTCCTCCTTTTGTCCGTCGTCAAAAACGTTTTTCGTTTTGTCTTTAAACAATTGTCCGATTATACAAATGCGTATAGGTATATTTTATTTCATGATTAATATAAGTAAATAATATAACTCTCCCGTCGCCACGAAAAAGCCTATAGCAGGATGTGGGCCATTCGGCGCCGCACAAGTTATACAATGTATAATGTGTATATAACTACCGAAGTTGTTGAAATTTATTACCGTCTATTTAAGTTTAAATTTAAATTTTAAATTTATTATACCCTACACCTACAATAAACACAGCGCTGTGCTATGCTATAAACTATTCAAGTATAATAAGTGTTATCAGATTTTCTTTTAATCATACTTTTAACTTTTTTCTTTTTAATCAATAGGTATATACTGTAATATATTATGTATACTTTACGTTCACGTTCATTTCGTAATAACAACATCAATGCCGACCACAACGACAATATTACATACAACGATAATGCACTAATGGAAAACATACAATATAATTAGGTATTAAAGTAGGTATTACGGTAAGCACTAAAGTACTACTTTCTGTAGGGTTACTTAATGTATATACCTATATTTTACTCTTTTGTTTTATTGTGCGGAGAGGGTTCTTTTGAACTTCGATGATATATATTTTTGTGCTATGGTAGAGATAAAAAAAATCACATTCTTCTGCAGCGTAACGCGTTTTAAAAGTTAATTACAGTTTTTAAAAATAAGTTTAAATTGATATTTATGTAGGTATAACGATAATAACTGTATGTTCCGCCATTCATTATCTGTAGGTATATAAGACTATAAAAGAAAAAATTCAAAACAAAACGAATAAATAAATTAAATTAAATCACCAGCGTTTCTTTTCTCTTCTAATTACAATATATTATATCCATGTAGGTAGCCTGGTAGGCGTGTACTTGCCTTCTACAATAATTAAGATGTTACGAGTTATGCTATAAACGCCCCGGCCGACCGACTACTAAATATCAGCTATGTACGCGATGACAGGAATGAGAAGATAAAAAAAAAATACGTATATTAGGTAGGTATTATTCAGAGACAAATTCACACAGCTGTTGCAAAACTATGCTATTGAACCAATAGGGTTTAGTCAAAATGTTTCGATGCAGTTTTTGAACTGAAAATGTTATTACATTTTGAGGTTAGTGTTTCCGAAATGAGTGTTGGTGAGAATGTTCAAATTCACTGATTGAAATTAAATGACTTAATAGTAAACATGTATTACATAATCGGTTTGCTCACACTGTTCATAGTAAGTTACCTCCGAGACATCACTAATTATTTTGTAATATCTAACTCATTCTCATTTAAAAAGTTGATTTTAAATCAATGATTTACAGCCCTTACTGAATTTGAAAATGATTAAAAAGTTGTCATTCTTTTAAATTTTCACTGGGACCAAGAATCATGAATATGTATAATTGTATAAATTCATATTGGTTTTACAATGATGTATGTTTTTATCTTTTAAAAAAGTAAAAATGGTTCAATTTTCAACTTACAAGTTATTTAAGGTGGAGACTTGAATTTTTCATCAAGTATACGAGTATGTATTCAAATTTTCTAGACACGAAAATTTTAATTTTTTACCATATAATAATATACATGTCAGCTCTTTTTGTAGTACTTACAGTCATTCAAATGTCTTTTCATTTTCTTTTATTTATGTATGATATAAAATATAAAATGTTTCTGAGAAAAAATTTGACAATAATTAAATACAAGGTTCCTCATAAGTTGTTCTTACTGTAACCAACAAATATCAAACATACGTATGCACAAACTTCTATGAGGACACGTGCCTATTAAGTTCAAATTTTGAGAAAATTCGATACTTTAACAATAAATAACGATTATAGTTGTTTTGTCGGAATTTAAAAAATATTATTCAAAGCACCTAAAAACTTTTCTCTATATTTTCTCTATAGAGTCTCTATATAGGTAGTTTATAGGATCAATGTTTATGATTAATACTATAGGAGTCCAGCTTCTGTTACAACATAATTGTATAATCCATAATTTTTTTCTTCTTAAAATGCACTTTCTTGAAGGGGCTTACCCCTCCCTCCAGATTTATTTATATAATATTATACTATTTAAGTTCTTTAATTTATATGCACTTTTTATTCACCCTTTTTCCTCTATCTATTTATTATTTTTATACTATACTAGTGTTAATTTATTTTTATAATTGTTCAGGTTAATCCCAAGTAGTAGTCACATTTGAATAATCATTCATTGTTATTTGTTTGAACTTTATTGCTATACGTTTTTTTGGGATTAAAAATTCTCGTAGATCGCAGTCTCCGATCCGCATTACTGCATTAGAATATACTCTGATATATATATAGGTATTGGACGCAGATACACGCACGCATGTTCAGAAAAGACGATTTTCTGAGAGGTACCGCCAGCTATTCATGTACAATTGGTAGCCAAATAAACATATCGATAAAATGCGGCGTGTCGCGTGTACATATGGTGGAACTACGCAATATATTATATGTACATGAATTAATACGTACCTGCGCGTATTTATGTCCACTCAAAAGCCACTCGGTACACGTTTTATTCCTCGAACAATAGAGCCGACGTATCTGGACCGATTCCAAGCCCGAGTGGGCATTTTCCCGCGACGGTGTAATACAACTCAGCCGTTGCACGGGATAGAAAGAAATCGAAAACACGGCAATATAATATGCTGGCGAAATCCTGATGCGATCGACAGTGCCGGAACTAAATCTCGTATGTGGCTGAGGTATAATAAATTATTAAGCTAACCAGAGGGCTACAACTATAGAACAAAAAAAAATTATTCAATTGTGTGGGCTGTGGTTTTATTCTACATCAGCATACTATTGTAACTCTATATTATACGTACCTAGACTAAACACTGTATAGGTATAATTCTTCGATACACGTTGATGACATCCGATTTTAATTAACATTTGTTCCATAACATTATAATAATACATAGATACTTCAGCATTTGTATATTTTGACATTTTGTACCACTTCCTACAAGACTTGTTACTCACATAAAATAGTTGTTACATATGTTCATTCACGCATTTGCAACATGTTTATAGTCCGGGACCAAAACATTTAATCAGATTATATTTTAAAAAAATATATCGAATATGAGAAAAACTGAAATTAGGTATGATATCGGCTCGTGGGGGGAGGGGAGTATTGGTGATCCTCGTACTAATATTCAAAGCACATGCTCGCCCTCCAAAGAAACTACATATCTAACATTAAAAAAAGAAAAATTGTTGTTCATTTGTTAATCGTTTCTTTCCTCAGATATGAGTTTTTTTCAGTTGCTTACAAATGTACATCAAAAGTAATGCTCCAGCCTGGATAAATCCATCAAAAAGCAATATGTATATATTATTAAAAAACATTCAAGTTTTCAAATTTGCCATCATTTGTTACACTACGTAGGTACTATGAGGCCGTCACAGGACATTTAAGATGTTTAAAATGTTAAATAGTATAAAATTAAATTAAAATAACTAGTTCATGATTTTATAGTCAATTTATCACATAGTTATATTATATGCAAAGATAACACATTATTATTTTCTGAATGCAAGGGTTTTTTTAATATTTTTAATATGTCCATAGACCTTATTAGAGTATAAGGTCTATGAATATGTCAATTTTGCACATAGAAGACCTATGCCACACAATAGAGAACTTTAATTAGGGTTAACCGACAATTAACCAGACATTGTAAGAACTAGCCTTAGTATGAAATAAAGATAAAATAAACTAAACATATTAATATAAATGTTATTATTTTGAATTTAGATTATAATTAATCAAACAATTTGAGTAGAGAGCAGTATTATTTATAGTTGAAAAATAATATTTTATAAATTGCAAATTATGTAATTTTTGAATTGGCCTAGGGGTTGACAATCAAGATTTGTAATAGTAGGCTTTAAGTTAAATTCTATATTTTAGGATATTATAATATTTTTGATAAGGTTACAGTCCCTTATGTAAATTGTAAATAATAAAAGGTTATCTTTTTTTGTACCTACAAGTGGATTTTTTTTCATAGTTCTACAGATAGCTTACAAATATTTTTTTAAAAAAAGCAAACATTACGTAAAAATTTCAGGATAACTAATAAGTTAAATAATATAAACATATATTTCATACTTGCAATGCAAAAGATAAAAATGTTTTAATACAGTAAAATAAAAATGTAATTTATCACAAAATGAATCTTTATATTAATTACTTCATTGATTTTTTCTTTTTGATTGCTTTAGTAATTTTGTTCTGTAAAGTACATATAAAAATAAAAATTATACCATCATCAAAAAATGCAAACAAATATTACATATTTATGCTAATTCATACTCACATTTATAGCTTTTGGGGATTTATTTTTATTTTTATTTTTGTTTTGTGGAATATCCTTTTCTACATTTGTGTCAATAGTTTCTTCCTTTTCTTGCTTCTTTTTCTTTTTTGACTAATTAATTAAATACAATTACTATAGGAATAAAACACAATATATTTTTTATACACTGAGATACCTGTAATTTTTTAGTTTCTTCAAATTCCATCAAGTATTCTTCTTCAGCGTCATCACCCTTTTCACCTTCAGAATCAGCTTCATCAGATTCTAAACCATCATTTTTAATTTCATCCTTCTCAATTTCATCATCTATTGAAACGTCAGATTTCTATAATTTAAAATAGTTTAGAATTAATGCATAATTTTAAAGTTTACAATATAATAAATAGAAATATAATGCATATTATAGTTTAATTATAGAGGAGTTCTTTACTCCCATGTATATTTTTTCTGATCGCTCATATTATATATCAAGTATAAACTATGTACGTTAGTATGTCTATCCATGTTTCATAATGCTGAGAATCAAAATTCAAATGTTTGAACATATCTACAATTGTGTTTTTAGGGCCCATTTTACAAATTTTACTACTTAGTTTGTCTATTTCACAATATTATGATTATTATTTTTCAAACAATTCTAAAAAAAAAAACCTACACAATTATCTTTAAGTGGTTCACAATTGAATTTATGGCAAAAGTAACATGATTATTATGTACATTTATTTTTTAACGCATTTATTTTGCATATCAAGGTTTTTTTAGTGCATACAAAACCCCTACTCCCTTTATTAAAGAATTATTGAAACAACTAACTTCATCCTCTTCATTATCATCCTCAATACCAGATTCGTCACTGTCATTTTGTTTATTTTTTTTAACATTAACATTAACATCATCGTCATCATCAAAATCTGATTCTTCTTCAGATCCCTATAAAAAAAAAAACCAAAATTAACCATGCTCAAATATTATAAGTAAGGCTCATGAGCTCACCGACAAAACTGTGACATCACCATTTGGTTTTACTAATACACGTTTTCCAAACAATTCACCTTCAACTTCTTTATCCTTAGAATACAATTTAGATTTAGTATATGGTCCTTGAACTTCATTCCTAGATACTAAAATATAATTTGTTAATAAAAATACATTTTTTTCTTTCAAGTAGATACTAACTCAATGAATAATATACAGGTAACGATTCAGATGTTGGACCTTTAATCAACAGACACCTGATATTTTTTAGACCACCCGGATAACTATGTGCTAAATTATTAAAGGTAGCTACGATATTTTCCGCAACTTGTTGAGCAGTTTGTTTCATATGACCAACCTAGAATAATTACAACTTCTCATAATTATATTTATGAACATCAAATGTTTCATTAAACAATAAATATTATAAATGAATAACATAAAATATTTTACATAGCATTGAGGTTATACCCAACTAAAAAACAACAATATAAACAAGGTAAACTTGACTAAATAACATACTTGAACAGTTTTTGTAGTGCCCTTGTAATCGAGGAAAAAAGATGTTTTATGTAACTTTGATTCTATTTCAGCTTTTAAGTGCTTTTTTGCCAATTTAACAGTAATTGGGAGCCTGAAAAAGTAATGATTACCACAAAATAATAGATTTTTCTTCATTTTTTAAAGGCCATATCACAAAATGTATAATCTACTTACTTTCTTTTAATATAAAATTCTTTTCCTAATTTCTTAACCAAAAATCCACTTATTTTCTGATCAATTAAAAATATATCATGTGAATTACACAAATTTCTTCTAGCCTCATATTCATTAAACTCCACTCGAATTTGTCTTGCAGGCAAAATCTTAAAAAAATACATATATTATTACACATTACTATCACTGGAAAAATTATACATCAATATAGATACAAAATAACCTATTGGTTATGAGAACAATTCAATTTTGGTGTCCCAGATTTCTTAAAATTTAATCTGGCCACCCTAACCTACATCCTACCTAGTTTTTAATTTTATAATTTGGGTACGTTCAAGTTTTTATTCCCTTATAAATTGCTATTGTGTTATCCACACAAAAATGTCTTAATTATAATATTAATAAATTTATATTAGAGAACATAAGATAATCCATTTAACCTCGTGTAGGTTACATATTTACCGATATCAAATTAACTTACAGTTTTTATATTTTTAATGCCATTTTTAGCCAATAAATCTTTATAATGATGATAAGTTTTCTCATGGTCCACATTCCGACCACGCACAAGATCTGGTACTATGAGGCATATATCTGTTGTATCAGTTATCAGTGAATTCGGTAATGCACTATAAAATACAATATTTATTAGTCATTTAAAAAATATTTTGAGATTCAAAAAAAAAATTTTAAACATACATTCGAACAACACGTTTTGGACCGACTCCCATTTTAACTGCAGTAATTACTAAATGTATAGGTGTAGCATCGTCCCATAATTCATTTTTAGGTAAAGTTGAATCATTTTTTATCAATGTAAAAAGTCCATTGACAGCTGCCTCAACCTGAAAATTAGATATGTATATTACACAATTTAATATTATTAAAAATTATCTTTATCTAATAATACAAATCATATTAATTTACTTTTTTTATATCAAGTTTAGGATCGCTCTCATTAGTATTCACTTCCGTCGTTAGTTTGGATTCCAGTACCTTTGATTTCATTGAAAGTTTTGATGCACCATCAGCTATATCTTTCTTAGGTTTCTTCTGTTTGGGTTCCACAACAGTCTTCTTGTCCCCTTTTTTCTTAACGTCAACTTTATTTTTAGGTACCTTACCGTCTGCTTTTATTTTATCCTTAGCTGCACTTTTTTTAACTTGTTTAGGCTCTTTTGAACAAGATATCCCTGTAAGATCGTTGCCAGACTTCAGATCTTCAAACGCATCAGAGATTTTCACTATGTTTTTCAAAACTCCACCAGTAGGTTTCGAAAACTTTTTTTTCTGTATAGCCCCTCCTAAAAGTTTTTTTGAAGGCATTTTTTTTGATGGAACAGTTTTTACTTTCATTATAAATGTATGGATGAAATTTCATAAAACAGTTAACACTGATCTGACGACAGACGGATGAAAAAGGAATGATTCAAAGAACACGTGCTATTCAGTATACACAAACCAAAACAAACCAAGTCGAAAAACTCTTTATCATTATCAGCACGTCAGTGTGCCGTTTTAACAGAAACTAAATTACCCTTACTTGGAACACGATTACAGGAGTTAACTTTTTTTACAGAACATGTTATTAATATCCACGGCCAAAGATTGTACTATTATTTTCATCGTGATATTATCTAATATGTTCATAATCATAATATTATTAAATTAACGAATGGATCTCCACAAGAAAGACTTTTTCGGATCCGTATATAAAATTGCCTATGTTGGCCCCTTTTCAGCAATTTACAAAATAATAATATACTAATATATGACTCATGATATGACTGATGATGACATTATTATAATATTATATATATTTAATTATGCATGGAAATTATTCGATGTTATTATGCCAGTTTAGACATATTGTACACTGCACAGTGGTATAAAATTGTATCCTACGACCTACACATAGTATTAAAAAAAAAAATTATTCAATATTGTAAGAAAATTAATTAAATATTTAAGAATATAATTTAGTATGAATTGTAACTACATTATTTTTAATTTAAATTATTTTTGGTCACTAATCGTACATAAGGATAAGTAGCATGACTTCAAAAATTAAATTAAATCTTGTAATTTGTTTTTTTAAATGTTCTTTGAAATTAATAAGCCATTTAAACATTGGCGATAGTATTCAACAAATGAATTAGGATAAGTTAACAAAAAAAAAATAGGTACCGTATTTTAATATCATTACATAATACATAGGTACTAATTAGAACTATATGACAGCATACCTGCCATACCTAATATTTATTAGTAAATTAAAAGTGAAATGGTTTTATTCATGTACGTATATAATCATAGAAAAGATCATAATATATTCTATGATATAATATGATCATCATTTAAAATTTAATAACATATAATTCATAACAAAAATAATAGGTAATACATTATTTTTCAACAATAAAAATTAATATTAAGAAATTCATTTTGTCTTAACACTATAAGAATGATTTTAAGTTGAATAGACATTTAAAATATCACTCGTACTGTTAAGTAAGGATTTTTTTATTATATTACTTACTGTTTTTAATTACGATCATATATTGTATTGAAATATTTTACTTTAAATGTGGGTAGGTATTAATGTGTCAGTGGACAGTCTCCTTTTCATGTACTACATATCTTCTTTAATCATTATCATAATATTGTTACTTATTGTTTTTGTGTGTAAACAGATTGTAATATTTTATTAAATAAAAAAAAAAGGGCCTTAAGAAATAATACTCCTATAGTCCTATGATTGTTAAGGCCACTACAAAGTACAAACCCTATACATGATTCACCAAAACAACATTAGCGATTGACAAAAATCAACGTACCTACTTCTAATAGTTCTAATTAATAAATGTAAAGGTTTATGATTTAAGAAAGAAGTTTATTTTGCATCGGTCTGAACATATATTCAATATATTTAACTATTTTTAATATATTTAATGAAAACAATTAAGGGGATTCGATACCGACCATTTTTTCGACTAAAACATCCAATCTTTTGTCCATAAATCTGATGGACCTAATAATGCGATAAGACTTTTAAAAACTGATTTGAATTCGTAATTATGTCTTCTTGAGATCGGCCACATCACTTTTTCAAATTTCGGCCCCTAATCTGTATAATATGGATTTAGAAATTGTGAAACTTAAAAAAATGTAAGTTTTGATTACACTGAATTAAAATTGTAAATTCATAGGCCGATCTCAAGAAGACATACTAACAAATTCAAGGTCCTTAAAAACGGTCGGTATCGAATCCCCTTAATATATTGATAAAATTTAAAATGTTTACTTTACCGTAAACATTTGCTAAAATTGAAAAAGTGCTCCGACAGATACAAAGTAATTTTGTTCATGTATTCAAAGATTTCAAACATCTTTACATTTTTAAATCGGACCTTTCGAAGTACCTACCTACTTACATTTTTGTCAGGCGTATACTTCTATATATATGTATATACATTAATGTTATTATTTTTTGTATATTTTGTTTTAATCTTAACATTTTTCATTAACTTACCTCTCGTTGTCTTTCGATTTTTCGTTGTGTTCAGATATTCTCATATATGACTCTTTACTCAATACCGGATACATATATCATACATTCTCACTGATGAATGGGGATTTCGGTTTTCGTGGCTGGGTAGGATACGTTATGGTTCGTGCTCAACCACATTATCTTGCCAAACAGAGTTGCGAAGAGATACAGTGTAATTATTATGGACAATATGAAATGGTGATTTAAATCATAACAGTAGTCATAATAAAACAGTGCAGCAATGTACATATTTTGCCTATATTATACGCCGAGCTACACTATAATATGTTAGCATGAAGTATTTACTATTTACAGCAATATACGTAGTATAATTAATGCAATATATTATATTTTAACATTTTTTGGAGTTATACAAAACAAATTGTTATCAGTATTTACACTGATTTTTAGCGTAGTTTATAGGTATCCTAGATATTAAATATTTTACGACCATATAATATAATATTAATATATTATATTATAATGTAAGCATATAGATAAAAGCAATTATTTGAGATTGTTAATTGAGGCGCACTAAAATTTTTTAAACGCAATACCAATTGATCATTATCAAAAAATTGAACATTCAATAACACACGCATAAAAATTAGCCAATTTCGAAAATTGTCGAGATTTTGAACTTTAAATGTCTATAAAAAAAAATCCTTCCCGTGTATCTAAAATGAATATTTAATATTTATATACAATTTTTATCGACGTTTACAGAAATATTTTATTTTTCAAATCTCTATAATATATTATCAACTCAAAAACAGTCAAAATATTTTAAAAATTGCATCAAAATGTCAAGTTTTAACGATTATTTATTTTGAGTTACAAAATTGCATAAAATTTCCCGTTTTCCTACAATTTTTTCCTCGATAATTTTGAAAAATACTGAGAACTTTGTCCTCTTGAACATACTAATTAGGAAAACTGAAACTACACTCAAAGTTGGAGATCGAACCATTTTTCTATTACATACACCTATTATATGTATACAATATACATAGACACATAGGTAGTACAATAGTACATTATACACACAAAAAAAACACACACATCATTGTATAATCAATACATTCATCGCTCTTCGCTCAGAAATTAAAACACATCATGAGATATACTTAGTTACCTACTTACTTATAAGCTGGCAAACCAACCGTCTTCACCTAGAATCGTTTTTCATATGCAATGATTTATCATTGAATTCAAAGTTAACTCATAGGCATATTTAATTTCCACCCCACCTCCTTTTTAATATCAGAGCCGATTGAGGTATTATCAAATTTTAAGTTTAGAACCACCTCCAAACATATTCATCTGAATAACAAGCTCCTTATTTACAAAATGCTTCTTAAACCAATATGGGTCTATGGTATACAGCTCTGGAGATCAGCAAAACCTACCAACATCAATAGAATACAAACCTATCAATCCAAAACTCTAAGACAAATCACTAAAGCACCATACTACGTTTCCAATCACACACTCCATCATGATCTTTCCATACCCTTTGTAGCAGACGTGGCTAAGACACACTACAAAAGATTCCATAACCGTCTTTTAAATCATAGAAACCCACTCATGCACATCTCTTCCTTGACTATCCCAGGTAATCCTCCCAAACGGCTAAAACGCAAATGGTGTAGAAACCTACTGAATGATTAAATTTTAATACTCATGTCTTTTTTTGTTTGTTAATGTAGTACCTCCACTGGGTGGCTTCTACGCTGTTATATACTTATATCTAGATTGTTATTTTTATTTTTTTTTCTTCTACTTTCCAATTTCATCAATTGTTCTTATTGTTCTTTTTGTAACAGATTGAATAAAACATTTATATATAAAAAAAAAAAGGTTAGAACTAAGAATTTTATCTAGTAATATATTAAATTTACAATTTTAAAACCTAATGACTTCCTTTAATTATAAAATTTAAATATCAAAATAAAACTCTAGATCTCTAAGAAAGTCTCTAGATAGGTTACGTTCTCATATATCAATTTACCAATATTATTAAACCGTATGAGAATAGGAAATTACAACTCTAAATAAAGTTCATTTGTATTTATTAAACACATTTAAGTAAACATTTCATTAATATATAAGAAAAATTGATTATGAATTTTATCAATAATATAGGTACACAGCTAAATATTTTGGATATATATGTATATATATAAACCTATATGACATAATATACATATATATATATACACACATATGTTATCACTGAAGTCTCAAATGTTACTTTAAACAAAATTATGTTGCATAAAAACAAAAAAAAACCTTTATGCAAGTCTTAAAAATTTAAACATAATATAATATTATAAATTATTCAAATGTGCATGGCAGGTTGTATAGTACAATAGAAAATACACAAATACAATAATAACAATAATTATAATAACAAAATACCAATAATATGTTAGGTAATTAATAATATATTTTACCATGCTATTACGTAAACTGAAAACTTGTTAACAATGCCGAATCATGGGTAAATAACAAAAAGAATAATTTTTTTATTACAAAAATAGCTTAATATATGAAAATAAGATATAAATAATTTATTTAGATGGTTTTTTTTTCTGATAAGCATTGCAAAGCATTGATTGATGTATAAATATTATATATATTTTGCTTGCAGTAGCTTGAAAATAACTATTACCTTTAAGGTACTATGGACTATGAATTATGGTAGGTACTGGGAACTCATTTTTTTTAAATCTATTATTAATTATTATTACACACATATATTATATATATATATAAATGCACCTTATACATGGCACATTAATTAACAATTTGAATAAATAATGGAACAAAATTTACAAAACCAAAATAATGATTAAGAGATTAGATTGGGCGGATTATAAGTGCGATTGCAATAAATACTACTTATATTCATATCAAACATTCATTTTCAATTTTGTATTCAAATATGTTATGCTACTAAAAATTACTAACATTATCACAATTTTTCTTGGTAAAAAATTCCTGGAAGGTAACTTATATTTATTTTCCTTAATTTGTAATAACGTTAAAAATAAAATATCATAAGAATCAACAGATTAACAGAACAAAAATGTTCCACATATTTGATTTTAAAAAATGTCAATAACCATAAGTGATTGATCATATAGTTATTACTATTATATCCATGTGTAAAAAATAAGAAAAAAATATTTTTTAATATTAGGCAAATTATAAGAGAACATAATTGATGATACTATTTTTTTTATCATAAAATAAAATAACTCATTGAAATAAAATTAATTTTTTAAACAACGAGTGATTATCAAAAAGGTCCAAGGATAAACTATTTCTTGTTATCCATTCATTAACTTAAAAGCTTAAATAAAACAATTGTTATTTTTGTGATATTCTTCAGATTTTGTAGAAAATGTAATATTACAATATAAAATAGTGACATTTTTTTTTGGCACAAAAACACTTAACAGTCTTATATAAATAAAAAATAATCACTTTTAAGGTCACAAATACAGACAAGCCCTATGGGCATTCTATGCATTGTAAATATAACGGTTCTGTAAATTGTACGTCAAATAAAATAATTACAACATTTACATTGATTTTTTTTTTTTAAACATAATAACATAACTAATTTATTTACATAACACATGTTTTGTGCTTATATAACCTCATTTGTGAAATTCCCAATTTCATTAACTGAAGAAACTCTAGATCTTAATACATTTTTGTATATTATGATGTAATTTTTCATTTTATATTATTGTAATTAATTATCATTGATTTAAAAAGTAAATTCAATAATATAATATAAAAATATATATATATTATTTCAATATTTTTGATATTATGAATGGCAGGTAACAATTATATGATGAATAAGTAACAAAAATTAAAAGGTTAAAATGTTAAAATGTTAAATATTATTCATTATTAATGCACGTGGTCTGGTATAACAAGAAAAGTAACATGTAAAACCATTTTCAGAACATTTTTATCATTTATCATTGCAATTTAAAATTAACCTATAAAACTTAAATTATAGACTTCTATGTTCTATGTTTATCTCTTTGAAGGATTACAACACAAGAATACATAAATTACAGTATTAGTTCTTTAAACTCTACTATGTAAAATCTTAAAGTAGGATCTTTAGTAGACAATTGCTTGTTTCTCAGTTCATGAAATGAGAGGCACATATTGCGGCTCCTTACATGAATTAGGCTATTTCACAAATGGGGTAAAACATTTGTATTAAACAATTATTATATAAATTAATGCCCCACTTTTAAATAGTGTATGCATATACTTACACCCTTTTAATAATCACTCTGTTTGTATTATTCAAAAAATTAGAGATTGCTAATGATTCCACAAGTATATATAAAAAAAAAACTTGAACAGTTATAAAATGCTAATACATTTTTATAAAATTGAGTATCTATCATTTAAATACTTTCAATATGTTTTTTTGTATTCGTATAAAATACTTTTGATATAAGATTCAAGATTCTTTTAACTTTGTTTTAAAAGTCAGACTGTGAGAATAGATCATAATTTATGTCAAAATTGTACTAACAAAATTACTGAACATGTTGTGAACTTTAATAATAATTCTTTCTTAAGTTTCTTATACAAATTAAGTTGGCCAATAACATAGAATATATTATTTAATTTAAATTTGAGCGAATCATAAAAGTGCTATATTTTGATTAAGGACATTACAGTTTTTTTGATTGAACGGTTAAATTATACTTTGGTCAGTTTTGTTAAAGGTCAGTCAATTAAAATAATATATGTATAATACATAGGATAATCAATAATAATGGAAGACTTCAAAAGTTACGGCATAAATCCAAAAACTAGCAAAGTCACAATTATTGTTGCCTCAACATTAACATGGACTAGTAAATAGAGGTTTGTATATTTTTAACATATAACTTAAACTGTAGGTATTATAATTTTAAAATAAAGACCCAGATTTAAAATATGCAAACAATTTAAACTATAATGAATACATTGCTTATTTATGGTAAAAACTATTTAGAGATATGTAGCACGTGAATCGGACTAAAATGATCCAGAAATGTTGGTTTCATATTTCATATTGTTGGTCCCATAAATACCTTATAAATATGTGTTGTATTATAGGTATAAACTATATAATATGTGCAAAATATAAAATGTACCTATTTAGCAATTTAGGATTGATTTAGAAGCACTGTTTGGGGCTAATTACTGCGGAAATTAAAATATGAAGTTGAAAATCATAAACAACAAAAATTAAAAAGAGTGTTCACTTTGAAATTTCAAAACACAAGAACAAAACAATTTATATTTGAATATCCCTACTAGGTATATCATCTTAATAAACTCACTACTCAGACCAGTCATCAAACGATGTCGGTGAGAGTTAAAATCACAGACCTGTGTATTTGTATGTATATGTGTGTGTGTGTGTGTGTGTTTGTGTGTGTGTGTGTGTGTGTACCGCGCGCGATATATATTGTGTACCTATATATGTATCAAGTATTATATAATAAAATACAATTATATTATATCATTTATTGTGTATAGAGACACCGAAAATTCAACTCGTTTATCACATGCAAGAACCAACCGCAGTTCAATCGATTTACGCTATAGATCACACCGTAAAAGCTGTATAAATTGTCGGTGTCTCTTACATCGTCTGTTACATTTATATGTCTAGTATATACACCGAATATATCAATCATTTTCGGATAACTTCGTGTCAACGGCAAAGAGTAAAAATTAAATAACAATTTTTTTGTCTGTACATTATACATGACTTGCGTCATCAAACGTGTGTGTGTGTGTGTGTGTGTGTATGTGTGAGTTAAGTGGCTAAGCAGAAATCTCGATCGTTTTGCGGTGGTGTAGCGTCCTCTCCTCCACCATTACGCGGCCAACAGCACGCCCGGCGTTGACGGGGTGGACCTTCTCTGCCGACGTTTGGTGACCCACGGCAGCAGGCAACACCGGACGATGGCCGTGAGGATGCCGACCAACGTGGTGATCAGACCGGAGAAGATCAACACGAACTTGTACTGAGACGCATCCGCGCCCGGCTTCAGCTGAACGAGCCCGACAATCAGCAGTATGGCCCCGATCAGTATGGTCACCACGGCTATGTGCAGCACGGACACCTGTGGCAAACATATCCGTACGGCATTTGAGACACGTTTACGGGTCGGCCACACGAATAAACAATTTCTCGTGTGGAATTTGCAAGTATCATGTAAACGAGTACCTTTGTTGTCCTGCTCGGATCGACCGAAATGGCTCTATTTCATGCAGTTTTTTATTTTTATACCCTGGTGAACATAAATAGAATATAAAACAAAATAAAAAATGCAAAAACAAATAAATGAAGCAAAAATAATAATAATAATAATAATAATAATAATAATAATAATAATAATAATAATAATAACGAATTAACGACTAATAATAATATAATTACAATACATAACAAAAATTATACAACCAAGACCGAATAATTTATTTTATTTTAAATATTCGATTCACGTGATTTGTTCAAAACAAAATAGCAATAAAAGATAAAAAAAAAAATGTAGAAGATAAAAGGTAATATATTTTATTATCTTATATACGTTCATTCGCATGCGTATACAATACACCATAATAATATACTTACGTACGTCTAATGATGTTTTAAATATTATTTAAATTACAATAATACCTACATTGTTATATAATATATGAAAATCTTATAGATAATTATATTATAACATCGGATTTTTAACTGTGGGGGAAGAAGGTGTCCGTGGCGATGGTGCAGTTATACAGGTGTAACAGAAAGAACTGGCAGATGTAATAACTTTTCTTCTAATAAAATATTATTAAAAACAATTTGTTTTTATTTAATGTACTCAAAAGTTATTACGTATTTAGCTAAATACATTTGTATTTGTATGTTTTTTTATTACATGCTGTATGTTATACACTTATACACTTGTACTGTGTTTTTTACTGAAATGGATTTAGATCGATTTAAACATAAGAGTTTTCAAAATGTTTTGAAACAAGTAACATCACACCTAATACAATTACTATCATAAATTATAATATATAATATAAATACACGGAGAGTTTGTGGATTAGGAAACTTTTGGAACGTTAAGACTACACTGTGCCTGTGTACCTATACGATTGAAAATTGAAAATTACAATATTCCTCACGTTTTCTCGAAAGGTACAAGGCGTGCGGTGTACGATAATCATTTAAAAGAGAAGGGGTTACTCGCCGTAATATTAAATACAGCGCTAGTTTTCACTCTAAAAGTTTAACGAGACATTGTTTATAGGAGGACATTAATACATAAAAATAATAAGTATTATTCTCGCTTCTCAGTAGCGATGCCGAGTGGCTGCGTGTGAAAGGGCCCTTATTCGGTGAAACGGATGAATAATAATAATAATAAAGAGCCATATCACGCGGGGTTTTCGATTGTCCTCCCACGGTCCCACCATCGTAAGCTCTCTCAAAGACGTGATATTATAAACTGCACCAACCGGACACCAATAAGTCCGTATAACTGAGTATTTTTAAGGTAGTATGCAAAGAGAGGACTTTGTTGCATATCAGTTATCGCGGCCTCAGTTGATTTTTGTTTGTCAAAAAAATAAATGTTTATCACACACACATATGACATATACATAGTTTAAAGTAATTATTATATAATATGACAGGCAATTTTTATAATAATCATTTAAACTTTAAAGACTAGATGGAAGGAGTAGGTATCACACATTTTGCAGGGTACCATACTACCATAATATTGAGAATATAAACTATAATGCAAATTGCAGGGTACAAACATTTTACTATCTCAAAATAACTTAATAATTACTAAAAAAAGTTCAGTCGTATATAGAATACTATTAAATATTAATGTAAGATTATTATCTAGGACATTGCATGGGATTTTTATTATATTTTAAATTCAAAGCGAGTTATGGGTAGGTTAAAACTGTAAATTGTTTGTACGTCTGAAAATACTCATAACTCGCTTTAAATTTAAAATATAATAAAAATCCCATGCAATGTCTTAGATAACACTTTTACCTTTGCATTTTTTTTAGGTGGATCACTCTAATTTTAGAAATTACAGAGTAAAATGTATTATTGTGAACGTACAATTTACCATGTTATACGTTTGTAAGACAGAGATAACACATGCGGGTGTGGAGTCCTCTTAAGACGAAAATAGTGTTATAATTACTTGAGAGGATCATACAGTGGTGTAGAAACAATTTTTTTTTACCAAATAAAATCAATAGATATAAATGGCCGATTTACGTTAAAAAAATTGCAGACGTCAGCTAGCTGCCTGACGGCTGACTGATACATAATATTTACCAAAGGACTGGTCTTAATAATAACCAAATACACTATACAATATATAGTTGGCCCTTTGGGTAGGTGGGGACATGTGCGAGAGGTGGTCGGCTTACTTTTGAGCAGACATAGATATCTGGCAGTGATGTGTTTTGAATGCACGGCGGAGACGTGATCGGCGTGCCGGTCTGAGAATGCGGTGACTGCAGTGTTAATAGACTTGGTCTCCGGTTTCCAGTGGTATTTGATGTGCCTTCCCGGTCACCGGCGTTCAGATTATTCACACATACCACTTTTTTCTCCTGCCTCCGCCGCTCGTGGCGGACGGCCACAGCAGGCATTGCTCCAATCATGGTAATTTCGTCTGTATTTTGTATAAACCGAGTAAATAAAATTAAAACGAAAAAAAAATACATTACAATGTTGAAAAAAAACCCTCTATTACATGGTCCAAAGAGTATTCTACATATTATTGTTTATTTATTATTGTCATAATATATCAGTGATCAGTATCCTCCAAACGACGTGCAGAACATGTCACAAATAATGACCAAGGTAGTGAAGCAAGGGGGTTAGAAATCAGCTAGTTTAATCATATTCCTTAAATCCAGAATGGCGAAAAAAATGAAACCCAGTTGGCACTCATCATTTTGTTTATAATCATTCGAATATATTAAGTTTCATGTTATTAGTAGTAGTGCAGTATAGTATAACTATATAGTATTTAACTTTGTGATTTGAAAACATTATTACTTTTACAGTTATTAATAGTTATGTGAGCTTCAAAAAGTTGACTCACAGTACACGATTTCAAGACTCATCAAAATAATTTACCTGCTGCTGTTAAAAAAAAACAATTTAAATAGCCAACACTTACCAGGATATATTATTAACAACTAAGTACATATTAAAATATTCTTTTTCAATCTTTATACAGAGACGTACGCAAGGCCGGCGGGGCTAACGGGCTGAAGTCCCCTCATTGCCGGGATTATTATTATTTCAAAAAATATATATTTATCAAGTTATAACTGTAGTAAACTAATAAATAAGGATGTAAATTTATATATGTTGTAACGGAATAGCTGAACCTATATAAATAAGAAATGGGACAGTGCAAACAGCCGTGCTGTACAACAGTAGGTTACAAGTGGGTCACTGTAATGGATGGTGTTTAATTTGAATCCAATGATATAAAATCATTGTATACGAAAAACGATTCTGAGCGAAGACGGTCTGTAAGCCTATAATATTACTTAGTCATTTAGAATATTTGATGATATTATTGTGATTAAAGTAATTTATTTTACTATTAAGAATAAGTACTCACTACAATTGATTAAATTCATTTTTGCCAAAAAAAAATACATTTGAAAAGGTCATTGTGTGTTTAAATATAAAATATAATAGAATACTCCAAAAGTTTCACGAATAATATTTATAAATAACAACAAAATAGCTTAAATCATTATTTTTGGTTATTTAATATGTAGGTAATTAAAAAAAAAAACGGTGCTCACATTTTTTAAACTTTTTGGTTATTGAACAACCTACTTGGAACTTTGTATTACATTTTCAACTATTAGCTGTAAAAGTCGAAAATTGTTAACCATACAATTATTTTTAAATTTTGAATTATATAAATTTTTCTTTAACTGCTTATAAAAAAAAATAGTGCAAATGTATTTTTTTTTTTTAGTTACATTAAAAACCGAAATCATTTTTTTCGAAAACTGTTTTTGCGTAAATATTCCCATTTTTCCTTAATTTTTTGTTTGTTTTTCTGCCACTTTTGAAAATTATTGGGTACTTTTTACTTTTGAATCCGCCAAAGTGATTCACTTTCCTATCAGGGAAGTTGCTGTTAAAGAAAAAAACCATCGTTTTACCATCCCAAAATGTAATAACAGACACAAAGAATCTAAAAAAAATCTTAGTAAAAACCAGTGATACAAACCTATAAAATATCATATTTTGGCGTCTATCAATATTCACATGTAAAAACCTTTAAAGGGGTTGTCTGAGCACTACTGGTGAAGACGGCATGTAAGACCAGGATATTTTAATTTATCTTAATATTGGTTTTATTGGTAATAAATAATAATATAGGTAGGTTGAATTAATTTTTGCAAAAAACTTTATATTTTCACAACTATTTTTCTAAGATGATCAGTGATTTTTTGGTTACAGCATGAACTACTTTTAAATTTAAATACTAAGGATTTGGCAATATTTTTCACAGCTTTCAATAATTAAAAACAAGCACCAATCGGATGAATGTTTTAATACTTCATAAAATACCTATTATAATTAAAATATAAGTACTATAACTACATAAACACTCACATGGACTTAAACAACCACATATGAAGACTCTTTTCTCTTTCGCCTCAAATCTCAAGTTAAAACATCACAATAGCACCTAAACATATTCAGAAATAAGTTGTCCAAAATCAAATGCTAATTTCTTGTAGAATACCTATCAACAATGGGTATTAAAAACCAATTGTAACAAAGAAAAAAAACAAGAAAAATAAAAAGTATAATATGATTAAAAAACTTTATTTTATTATTTTGAATATTAAAATGTCAGTAATAGTTGTTTTTATTTAAATATGTAAAGCAATCATAATATATAATAAAGTAATTTTAAATTAATTAATTCTACTGAATAATTAGCAGAATGATACAATAATTTATAAAAATTTAATATTCAATGCATTATTACATAATATATGCCTTATAATTATCATTAGTTAGATATATAAACACAAAAATCACAGTGCAAGTTATTTCATTCAAGTCAAGAACATGGTTCAAACCAAATAATAGTTATGAACACAGAGGTAAATTCACTAAACATTAACCAAATTAATTTATATGGAAATTAAAACCATAGAAACAATAAGTTTTAATCTTTAAAGTGGTGTTGATCATAATTGTATAATAAATAGCATAACTTAAAACAATTAATACTTCTTTGATCCCCGGTGTATTATTTTGAATAATTTAAAATCAAGAAAAGTGTTGAGCAAGAAAAGTACAATGATTTGCAAAAAAATATTTGTTTTAACTAAAGGTGGAACGTAAATTAATATTTTCAGTCTTCCAAAAGAAATTCTTCATGAAATATTTAATATACATTATACATACTCATAAATAATTATTATAAAATTAACTCCATAGTAGTATTATGATACGATTATTGATTCAATGATTTAAATTACTTAACAAATTTTTCTAACATAACAAAAACAAAAACAAAAACAATAACTAATTGTAATAATATATTAATTGCTTATCATTTTTTCCTAACAAAAATTAAAAATTGTATAACTTAGGCTAGTGATTTCACAGTTAAGGGTATTTTTAAGTTGACAATTCAATTTTCAAACCAAAAATAGTATAATACAAGCAAATCAATACGTACAATATTTTTTTTTTATCAATAAAAAGTTGACAGTTTACTAGATGTGATGTGCATTTATAGTTAATTAACAATATTTAAACACAAAACTACAAAAGTCAACTAAATAGTATAAAAATATCAAATTACAAGTATAAAATATAGGTTAGGTTAATTAAATATTTAAATATTAGGTAATTAAGGAAGTCAATGTATATAGTCATTCATAAACAGGCAAATAAAATAAATATAATTTAAAATGTAAATAATTTTTAAATTTAAATTAAATTTCTTAAAAGTAATTTATTTTCATAACGGCTTTTTTTTTTTAACTACTTATTGAGTTAATTTGTTAAAACTTACTATGTTTCAGTTGTGTCATAACACCGAGTTACCAATAATTCCCTATTGTATGCATTATGTGATCTGCCTGGATTCTGCCTCTCTGTTTCAAGATTATTATATTGATCAACAGGTCTATACTCTGAACCACAGGCTTCTTCTTCAGCTATTTGATCAAGATCTGAACCAGGAGAATTTTGCTGTTGACTCTGACTCTGACCCTGCTGTCTTGCTTTATACTGTTGTTTTGTATGCATAGCACCAGTTTCTGCATCTGGTACCAGTCTTCTACCTGATCTTGTTCTGGTCAATTGGCGTTCCACGTACGCAGCTAAATCTGATTCTGCTTTGCGGGTTATGAAATGATTCAACACAATCAAAAAGATTCCAATTATACTTGAAGTTATACCAGTTATTACAAGTTCATTAACCCAATTTTTTGAACCCCATGAAACATAATCGTCAGGTATAATGCCAGACCCGATTAAAAATAGACCCAAAACTAGAAAAACTACACCAACATGAAGCATGCCTATGCTAGAAGCAACTTTAGTATCGAGCATTTTAGGTGGTCTCTTCCTTCTCCTTGGCCCTTGTGATAGGCTACCAACTGATCCATGGTATTCTGTTGGACTTGTCACTGTAGATTTAGAACCATGAATACCACTTTCTATCGATTGAGAACTTAAGCGACGTCTTTCCATGTGACGTTTAAGTTCTGCTCGTCTCTTACGTTGACGGCGAATCGCCAAAGCTGACTGCAAACCAAAACTATGCATTCTAAAAAATAAATATATAACACAAATGGATAAATCGATTATTCTAAATTGATGAGCATTAAATTTTATTTTGAGATTAGAAATGTTCTTACCTGATCTATGAACGCGACTTTTGAGCTTAATTAAACTTTAAAAAAACTAAGCTTTTAAGTTTGTAAACAGTAAGTGTAACACGATATTTAGTAACATCTATTCGTATTATTCATAATTGATGTGCCTATATTTAACACTAATCACATATTTCGCGAAAAAAAACAAAACAAAACGCAATAATACAGGCGGTATCGAACAAATGTGTTCAACAGACGACGAGATAATGCGAAAATAAAGTAAACAACGTAAGACCTGCATGGAATAATCAAGGGTAGTATAGTAGGTAGGTAGAGTGGAGTATATAGTATTGATCTACAGTAGTGACGGTAAAAACCGTTCGTTACCATAGAAACTGTGAGCGTAGAGTTCGCGATTTATTCCATACTATGCCAATAGCAAATTTTATTTATTTTTCCGTATTCAAATACATCATTGTCTTACGAAATGTAGTGAATTTGGGGAGAAAATGTCCACGTCACTTAACAATAATAACAAAATATTTTTTTAATATTGAATAACAAAAAAAAACAATAAGTCTTGTGAATTTGTGCATTAAGTGCCTATTCATTTTACAGAGTAATAAATAATAATGATAGAATATAGACTCTATTAATATGGACAGTCCTTATTTGCGTATTAAAATAACGTATGAAACATTTAATATAATACTCATTTGGCTGATGCGAGAAAGAAAGAAACAGACAATTTAAACACCTAACCTAGCTTGTTACGCTGTAAAAAAAAAGTCCCCAAGCTCCACTAACCGATTCCGTTGTTAATCTATGTATCTATCGAATCACTGATATTAAAACCAAGGGCGCCCTCAGAAGTATAGGCCAGGTGGGGAGGAGGCAAAGTCAAAAGTCTCTGATATTACATCACATATTTTTTATTTGTTTTTTTACTAGTAATAAAACATTTATAAAACAATTAATATTAACTAAAACAGCGGGAGGGCATGGCCCCTCGCCACCCCTCTACGGGCGCCCTAGATTATAACCGTTTACGATCCATGTATGACATACTTTGATAGAATATATAATATCAATACACATTTAACATTTGTTACTGTTGTTACAGTTACATGTGATTTGTATTTAAATTTGTTTTTTTTACTTTTAGTAGTTATTACGGACAATGTTTGAGTTAAATAATTAATAAACAGCGCTGAAACCAAAGCACAAACTTCTGATCCCCGAAGTATGACATAAAAGTTAAAAGTATAAAAAGTCAATATTTATTAATAGGTACGTTGGTTACAATTTACATATTAATGCGATTTATAAGCATTTAAACGTAAATAAATAATAAACCTTAGTATAATTAAGTATTTCGCAAGTATATAAATAAATATATTATCTATATTATAGTACAAAATAAACATAGTAAAAATGATCAAAGTACACGAATCTTGTGGAATTCGTTTGTTTACCCAGTATTCCTCCAAATTCCAATTATTTTTACTCCGGATAAGAATATAACAAAACATTACTAACTAGAATTGTTTAGAAAAATTAAAATAGTCTTGCAGGAGTAATTTTTAATTGGAATAATAAAAATCATGTAAAAGTGTAGTCATGACTCTAGAAATAAATCGTCCTAGTCCCTAGATATGTGAGTAATTAAAATAGTAATAACAATAACTAACAATAATGTTTTCATACAACAACTACTTTTTTTAAAAATACTTTTTAGGTTTCTAAACCCAATTTTGGGACATTTTATATTTAGGCCTTGAAAACTAAAAAGTATTTTAGCGTCCCCATTCTAATTATATCCTAGTCAATTATACATTTAAATATTCGGGTACGAAGTTTTTAACTGCTTATTGACATTGTGCCCGTTCATTAGTTACCAGTACATATTTACATGTAACGATTTTACGATTGTTAATATTAAGATGTTTATTTATTTTCCGTATAGTTACCGTACGAATTATAATATAATATATGATATATCATGTATGTTATACTATACTATGTTATTAAAGTGCATTGAGTTAATTAAAATACGTTTAGTCATAGGGAATTTGGCACTCTCGAAAGTCGCAGAATGAGCATTAAATTTGTTTAAAACTTTTTTGTCTTTTTGTTTTCTTTTGAATGATTACGTATATTTTATTTTACTTGGTTTATCCTAAATTAGTATTTAATAAAGTTAACTTAAAACATTTGTATGCATCAAGTGTACGTGTTTTTTTTTACACTAATGAGTACCTATTCATTGGAGTACATGGAGTATCATCACTTAACGTTAACACTTTACGTGTAGATTGCAAAAATTATGTTAGATCACTTACGAATACCGTTACCAATATTTCATTATATATCGCAACCCCTCCCCCAATTCCACACAAAAAATGTGTTTTGCGTATAGCCATACAGTTGCTTACTTCTAATTATGCTTATAAAATAATAGGCTTATAAATAAAACATATTTTTATAAAGATATGTTTACTCGATTATTGCAAAGCATTATGTGACTAAATAATTTAATAATTATTAGGTCGCAAACATTGATCATACCTACAAATTATCATTTTATTTTATTTTTTTACAGTGTTATTTTGTTGGGATTTTGTTTGTATGTCCCAAGTACACAGAGTAAGCTAGCCCTAGCGCATAGCCTGGGCTGCATAACTTGAGCGCACACCCCATAACAATACATTTTTAACATAAGGAGGTAGACTTTCAAATCGCATGTGTCAACTGTTTGGCCGCCCCCACTATATTATGTTATAAGAATATAAATATAGAATATGATGTAAATATCTAACCTAGTAAAAAGTATCTATACAAGTAGATAGCTGTATATTATAAATAACCCAAATGATTAATGGCTAATACTATCCTGGAAAAAAGTGCAGATCCAGCTACTGTAAGCATACATGTCCAAAATACCACATAAACTTCTCAACTCGCTTTCAGATTAATTCAACAATTTGAAAACAAAAGTTAATGAGTCAGTCATCCCACATCACTTTTTGCACTTTTATCAGCTACCCTAAATGTGCCTGCAAGGTGTCATCACGTTTAAAAAAATGAAAGGAAACCTCAACATTCTGTCTCTCCATCACTTAAATGTATCATTAAATATTTATTTTCACATATAGAAAACGCTAATAGAACATTTATGGACCTAATGGATTATCATACAGAAATCAGTAAGGCTTCTAACATAAAAAACTTAAGAACCATACAATTATTCCGATCTATATACTTGTGTAAAGTTACAATCATAAAGGCTGTTACCATGATTTATCCAGTAGGAAAGGGGCTAGGGGGCTTTAACTCCCCCCATTGGCCCTGTTTCGGTATAAATCGTATATAATAAAGGCAAAGAACAAACCATTATATTTCTCAAAACAGTTTTGAAGAAACATTTTATGTGTTATAAATTATTTGTAGAGGTTACTACGGTTACGAAATATAGTGATAATGACCTAATATAAAGTAACAGATATCAAATTCTGGTTTACTTTGTTTAGCCCATAATATATTAGCTAGGTAGGTAGAATAATATAAGTGATGATTCGCCCCCCCCCATTGAAAAATACTAGATACGCCATTGGGCTGTTAAGCAAGTCATAAATTTATCACTGCATTCTGACCTCAAACTAAATATGATTACTGAAACAGCAATATTTTACACACTAAATTTCACAAAATGGCCATAATAAGAAATTGTAGAACTCCAGAACGCAACCAAAAAATCCAGTAAGGATTTTCACTGAAACGGAAATCTTTTTAACAAAACCTCTTAATAGTTAGGTGTCTCAGTTTCATCAATTCATAGGTATTCATTTATTGTATATAAACATCACATAGTGTAGTTACTGAATAACAATAATAATAAAAATACTATCACAAAAAATTTGTATATGTTTTAGTGCTCAATTCAAATTGCAATAATAGCAAAAAAACAAAAATAAATACATTTTTACAGAGGTAATTTCTGGCTTTTATCATAATTAATAATTATCATAGGTTTCACTGCAACACCATTGACCGTTAGTAATACATTTATACTTGTTATTATAACGTAAGATCATAAAATAGATAACACCTTATAAAAAATGTAAACTATAAACTAACTAATATTGTAAATTCCATACCTAAATTATATGAACTTTGTAAGTTAAGTAATTAATTCTAGATAAGAACAAAAATTACATATTTATAGTGTTCGAAACTAATTACTATAACTTTTATATACATACAGTTAATACACAGAAAATAATATAGCTGAAAAACTAAGTATGTTTAAATTGTTTCTAACGGATTTCATATTATATTCTTTATTTCCTACAGAAATTCTGATTAGAACCATTTTTATTGAATATGATATTGCTGTTACTCAAAAATGTACTTGGGTAAAATGTAAAAATTTAAAGTACAATATTCATGTTCAATGCAACATTCAAAATTTGAATTTCTAATTATTAGTATTAATTATCAGAAGGTATAATAGTGCCAAATAGTTCATTAAGCTATTTAAACTTGAATGTCAAATAATTATAATGGGTAATATAACATACATCAGTTTTAAAAATAAATTATTAGTTTCTGAATATTTTCAATTATTTATTAGGCTATTTAATTTTTTATCTAAAATAAATTGAAGCAATGTTAATTTTTTTCCAATCAATGTGGTATTTTTGTAATACATTTAAATTTAATATATACTTTTTAATCATAACAAATTTTGTATTAGAACAAAACAATGCATTTACAAATTTAATAGGTACCAGTTTGAAAAATTATTTTATTCAATTTAAAAATAAAAACTATACAATTATATTATAAAACATAATTATATATGTTACTAATTTTTATAGAATAAAAAGTGAACAATTTAATTAAAACGTATAGGTACATTTAAGCAAAGTGTAAAAAATAGTTATTATTTGAAATATAGTAGGTTCCAGAATACAAGAAGAGGGCTTCAGCCCCAATCCTCCCTTAGACCTTAAGTACTTAACATATTTCAAAGATTACCATAATTTTCAGTTTATTTACTAATTTTAGGAGGTTAGAGGAGCAATACTATACTTAAAACATATTATATTATATTGCTTATTGACATTCAGAAATGATTGATAATCGTCATGGTTTATGCAGTCCTTAATTGGCTTAATTGTAGAGGTTGGCTTAAACAAAAATATCATGAAATACAAAATATGAACAAATGGGGATCACTCATTGGAGGTTGGAAGCGTTATGTGGGCCGACGGCCAGCTTTTTCAGGGTGGTCAGAGGCCCCCTCATTTGTATAAATAATTATTATGTAAGTGTGCTTGGCAAACGATACGGAACCAGGTGGCAGTATTGTGCTAAACAGATCCCAGGTATCCAGTTTCCGGTTTTTTGAACGGATAAAAAAAAGGTTGAAAGCGTTTGGCTTTGCAAACTGTAGGCGGTAAGGAGGGAATTGAGATCAGTTCATAACACATGGTTTACAAAGAAGACTGATTATCTAAATATCATGGTTATAAAACAGTTAATATTTCCGTTAAAATATTTTATTCACTATAAAAACTTAAACTGAATTTTTGTACTTTAAGTAAATTTAGTCCCCTCCGTTTTTAATTTCTAGATCTATGTCTGAGATAGTAGGTACTTAATGAACTAGTAGAGTAGGTAGTCAATTGGTATACATGTATTATTTATAATAATGTAAATAAAACAATAACATTTATAAAAACTGATTGAAGTCTGAGAGCATGGTCTAAAACTATTAATAGGTAAGTGATATTTTTTTTTATAAAGTCAATAATTACATTGTCGATTATTGAAATAAAAATAGTAACAGTTTACAAATTAATAATAAAAACTAAGACATTGTATGAAAATTAAATAATTTTTATTACCCTATGATAAAAAATTAACAGATCAGTCTTTATATACCTAACCTTGGGGTATAGTAATAGCAACTAGATCCTTTTCCCTAGGAAAATCTACCTGGGCATTCTTAGGGAATAAGCAGAACATGTTGTGTCCTATAGTAGGATGCAATATACTTTTTCAAACATTTAAGTATTTCCGCCAAGTTACACCAATAGTACTGTACTCAAATGTAAGTACCATAATTATTTTTAAAGTATTAAAAAACTTTTATAAGTGTAATTTGTCAGTAATCAGTTTTTAATACTTACATTTTAGTTTGGTATTTTTCTAATTTACCATTTACAAAAATATAAAACTAATTAATATTTAAATTAAAATTGTTTTAATTCATAACAATTAATACATTTTGAGATGATTCAAGATACAAACAAAAAAAATAATAAGTATATACTTAAAGGTTTATACTTTAAGGTTATTTTTATTTTTTAAAGTATTATTTACAACACTGGCCCGAGTCATATTCATAGAAGTGCAGGTCATGCTCTGTACATTTTTAATTTGTATTAATTAATTAGTTTTGGAACAACTAGGGTGGCCAAACTTAACAATCCCAAACATAGTTTAGTCCCCTTGTTTAACAGAATATTTTTATTTTACAAATTGTAATATCTGCTTTTTTTAATATAATAACTAGGGCTACAATATTCTTAATTATTGTACTAATAACTAAAAATTAAATTATTATAAATAATATATTTATAAACTAAATCGGGTATAGTTTAAAATTAATTTATAATATGAATAAACATGACTAATAACTGCTATAAATATAAATCATATATAGGATATAGGTACATATACACAGGATACACTATACCTAGTCATTAAAATAATTATGAAAAATATTTAATACAATGTTTCCCTTAACAATAATTATGCTATTACATTAATCTAGTCATATTGTATGAAGAATTATTAAAAATTAGATATCGTGGACTGTGTACTTATTTAAACACTGTACAACTCTATTTCATTAGTATGTTCATAAAATACCTAGTGCATTTTCTTTAAACTATAATTCATAAATTCACTAGAGCGTTCACTACTCACTACCTAGTTAATTTTAATTGTTTCCAAAAGGTAAATACTATACTATATACTATATAGCTGCAAATTGCAATATTGAAACTTAAAATACAAAAATCAAAATTATCTATGTACCTAATCCAAAATCTAATGTTTGGACTATGGGTCTTATATGAACCCAAAAAATTGTAAATACACTACCTAGTGCAGACGTACCAACGTCATAATTTAAGGAACTACATTTCAAAATCTAGACTCCAACATAAATGCTATTAACAGGATGACAGGAGAATGTCTTAAATGTATTACATAAGCCACAGTGGCATCAAATAAATATTCCACTCACGTAGTTTGGTGTTTCGGTATGAGCCTCCTTGCAACAGGTACTGAAGTTGCAATCCCGGCTTGTGTTTAACAGTATTCATACACCCTACATCAGAAGGAGTAACATTGTAACTCAATGGTTATACATTTGTATCATTATTATTCATATAATTTGATGAGAACGTTTCCTGAAGTAGAAAACTGCTCTCATAAGGAATGCTGACCGTTTCCTTTGATCTGGCGTGGAAGCGATAACGTAATGACAATGTCTTCCTATTAGCTGGAACGTGTGCTGCCGGATACCATAAACCATTTAAATGTTGTCATGCTACTCAAACAATGATCTCAAGAAGCCCCAGACACGATCGATAATATTACAACAATAACAACAACAACAATTAAGCTAGGTACCTATAAGCTATAGGCTATAACCTATGCAAATCCTCGATAGTCAAGGCAGATGCATCGTAGACTGACGTTAGTAGATCACTTGCAATTGCTCTCTGCTCGAAAGCTTGTCTACCTATCTATGCCCTCAAGTCTCAAAATTATGAATTAAATAATTTAACTATTACAATATTATTTATATATTATTATTTATTACTATCACTACGATAATATTGTCTAGAATGCGGTAATCAAATATCAAAATAATTATAGACCTATAATATTCCGATCACGGTAACTACCGTATACGAAAACTACCGTATAGTATCCCCCGTCGGGTGTCGGTGTGACGTCATACGGAAATTGCTGCTCACGCTCGCGAGTGGGTCGCGGGTGTGCGCGCTCGGGTTTGGGTGAAGGGGATTATCTATTCAGCAGCAAGCTGCTGTGATCGGGGTCCGGAGATACGTCAAGCAGTCCCGTACTTCCCGTACGCCCGTCATCCACGGCCAATGCGCTGTTATCACAGACCAAGGAAATCTTTTGTTTTTCAAATCTCACAAAAGACGCGTTATCATGTTTTGATATTATTTTAATAACAATATGTCAATATCGAATGTAGATTTGTAGTTTGTATGAGAAGTCGAGAAATATTTTTTTTTTCGTCCGCGAATAGGATCTTTTTCTGAATCTACTGAGGATCAAGGCTCGACTGCGACGTTCGGTTTATCAAACGTATCTGGCACGAATAACCCAAGTACGGGAATAACTTCGTCAGTTCTGGTTCCGTGCTGAAAACGTGTCATCGCGATCGGTGTCGTCCGCAACTAAACGAGATTTGTCAACGAAAAATTTCGTTTTCTCCGAGTACAGTCGTGAGGTAAGAAACGACCATGATCGAATCCATGCTATCAATGCTGCGATAATGAAGTACACTGAGAGGATCTAAAATGAACGTTCCATACATCAATGACACTTTTAATATTAATGGTAGGTGTACTTTCTAAGCTTGCAAAACATTATAGCAGGCAACAACTCTGTAAACTATGTGAATGGGTTTACAAAATGTTTACTGATAATTATTGATCAATAAATATTTATATTTGTCAGATCTCATCCCTTATAATTTCAAAATTGAGATCATATTCATGTTGTTTCTTACTAACCCAATATTTAATCAGCGTTTGCCACTTCTAGGCTCTACGTCCAGTATATTCATTCCTTTAAATATAGTACAATATATTCATTCATTTTACACAGCAAGTTTCTACTTTCAAATGTAATAAGGTACCTACTAAGTCTAAGCTTGGAAGCCTTTAAACAGATGTCTACTCTTTCACATTTAAAATTAAATATTATTTTTTAATAACTAATTCTACTCTGATATGCCTATTAATCAAAAAAATAATATTTTCCTTATATTATAAAGAACATTTAAACTAGATGTATTAAGAATTGTAAAAATTAAAATGTTTAAATTTAGTATGTATAAAAATATTAAGTATAATAATATTTATGTGCTTAAAACTATTTTTGAAATTGAATATAAATAATTGATATGCGTATTGTGGATAAGTAATTCTTAAAAATAAATAACCTTACAATATTTGTTAGAAAATTAAATACATAATAAAATACTTGAATGTAAAGTAATAAAGTATTATTCTGAATATATGTGTTACTCATTAATGGAGCTTGATAAACTTATTTGGAGGGGCTTAAGTCTCAGCTGTATTTTTTCATAATATGTCTACCATCAATGATTAGTCCAGACATGGTTAGCGCGCAGATTGAGGCTATTGTGCTGTTGAACTGCCTACCTTACAGTAGAAATTTGTAGAAATAAATGTACCTGAATAAATGCATTAATAAAATGTAACTCATACTTAGTCAAAAAAGTATAATTAAATGTTTTAAATATATTTCCATGTATATCTAGGTTAGGGTAGTTCATTTATTTTATGAAAAATTATTAATGTATTTTAAGGGTCTGTAAACATAATAAGTACAGCACGAGTCTTGGGAGCCTAGATCCACAAATATGATCTACTAGGATAATACTACCTAATATATGTATTACATATATTTTACATACATTACCTAATAAAATATAGTTACAAATTTACAATCATGTTTTAAATCCACCACAGTCCACAAATAATATTTATAGGTAGGTCATATTCCATAGCTTTCTAAAATCATACATTTTAATAAATTTGAAAACCATGACACTATATGTAAGTTAATAGGTAATTAAATCAATGAAACAATAGAAATTTTAAATGCAAGGATTTTCTATACCTTCAAATACATACTGATATGGTCTAGGATATGGTGCTGGTCTATTTTAAATGCGGTACCATACCTCTGCACCTCTGCACAATTAAAATTATTCATACCATTACTGAACTTTTAACATAGTTCTAAATATAAGTTAATTTAAATACATATTTCTTTTATTATTATTCAAAAGTTGTTTTAAGTTTTAATTATACTCAATTGCTATTATATTTTTTAAAAAAACATCAGGTATAAGATTTGTTTTTCAAATTGCCTAATAATGGAATATTATCTCTGTAACTAGTATATAGATACTATGGATAAAAATTAAAACCCCAACATTGTACATATAAGTTTTGAAGGGAAATATTCCATTATTATAAAGTAAGAAAGAAAAGTTTTAAAAAATGTTTTTTTTTACATGCTTTACATTAACAATTATAAATTAATATTTACTTAATGCTTGAATAAAAAATAATTATAATTGATTACCTATAATAATTTATCATCTTTGTTTTAGAACTTTCAACTGATCAACAAAAATTGTTAATCGAAATTAGACGTCGTAAGGCAGAATTATTACTTGAAATACAGGTTAGTATACAATTTCATGTTTCCCATACGTCGTTTTGATGCATTAATTTAACCTTGAAAAAGATTCATCAAATAAAATTGTATCTGAAAACATTCTATTAAGTTGGTGTAATTTAGTTAACTTTGAAAATGATACTGAAATCAATTTAGATGTTTAAATTATTTAGAATAAAACAATCATGTCTAATTGATAAGATTAATATTTAATTAGTTTAACTGTTTAACACTATTATTTCATTAACTTTCAATAGTTCCTATGTAATTTAATGTTGGTCTATTGATCTAGCATACACATTATTGTATTTCTTATTATAACTAAGACAAAAACAATATTTTTATTACTTTCATTATTTATTTGACAATTAGGTTTCAAGTATTTTTGCTGTTGTATTGTGTTTAGTTTTGTTATCTTTGTGTCAAATTCAGTAATAAATACCTAGTTAAAAATATTAAATTTAGTTCGTATTTTATATGCATACTATATTTACTTAACCAGTATAGAATAAAAAACCATTTTAGAGTTATTCCAAAATAAAAAATATTTTACTTATAAACACTTTTAAGGACAACTAATAAGTACTTAAATTACATCATTTTTAGGATTTTTAAAATTAAACAAAAATATTAATTTTAAATAATTCTCATTCAGTTAGGTATAAGTGCCTATTAATCTTTAATACATACTCACACGCTTTAAATTAATGCATGATACATTTTATCACATGTATTTATCTAATTTTATATTAGTACTTGAAACAAATAGATTAAATTACAACAATTTTTGTAATTGGAAATTTACATTATTAATTTAGATTATATCATAAACTTGGTATGTTATCTATACTATATTGATGTATTATGTCTAACTTCAATATTAATTACTAATTTAATAAACATTCCTAAAAAAATAAATATTTCCATTCTTAATTTTGATAGTTTTCAGATGTATCATATACTATATACCTACATTAAAAACAAAAAAGTTGTTTTATTTTATTAATATTGCATTTTACATTATTTATAGCTTGAGTTTATTACTGCAGTTTTAAATGTTGAGGATAAATTGTATAACAAATCTTAACATTTTGTTTTATTTTTTTAGCAATTGAAAGATGAGTTATCCGAAGTTGTTAGTGAAATGGAAAATATGGATTCCAATGACGATAGGTAATTGTTATTCATTATATCCATTTATTTTAAATGTTTCATATAGTAGATTCTTTTTTAATGAATACTATTTTTCCTTTTGTTTTAGTAAAAATCAAACCAAAGCTAAACAAATATCAATTGGTCGTAAAAAATTCAACATGGATCCAAAGAAAGGAATTGAATTTCTTGTTGAACATGGTCTACTAAATCACAATGAAGCTGATGTTGCTGCTTTCCTCTATAAAGGAGAAGGATTAAATAAAACTGCAATTGGCGATTATTTGGGAGAGCGAAACGATTTTAACGAAAGAGTTCTAAGAGAGTTTGTTTCCCTGCATGATTTTACTGATCTCATACTGGTTCAAGCTCTAAGGTAAAACTAAATTATATATCTGTAAACTAACTATAATATTAAGGGCTTAGTACTTAGTTTATGTAATATTAAAATGTGTTGTACAGACCAATATTGTTTAAACTTCTTCAAGGTTAGGTTATGTAATTATATGATTAGAAAAGTTATTACAATTGTTAATAATAAGACAATAAGACAAGGATTCTGTTTAATGATTTCTCGTATTAACCTATGTCATTGTAAATGGTTTTACTAAATATTTGGGATGTAGAAAAAATATACTTAATATAGAGTAATACTTAATTATATTAAATGTATTAAAGTAGTGGTTCTTTCTTTTATTAGGTGTTGAAACAACAATGTAACTTTTTTAAACACTGTAATTACTTTTCTTTTGTATTTATAATTATATGATTAAATCAAAAGTAGGTAATTGAATTACCCGTCTAAATATATAAATAATTAACTTAATGTTAAATAATAAATACATTTATTATGAACTATTCATTTTTAGACAGAAGCTTGATTAAACAATATTTTATTTCAAACAATGACAAGTTAAAATTAAATACATTTGTAGTTGATTATAAGGCCATATGTCCATTAGTAAATCATAAATTTAAATTAATCACCAAAAATATTAATTTTAATAGATTCTACTGACTATTTAATAAACTATGTTATACATTTTTTACATTTTAGACAATTTCTATGGAGTTTTCGACTTCCCGGCGAAGCCCAAAAAATTGATAGAATGATGGAGTGTTTTGCAGAAAGATATTGTCAATTAAACCCCAATATTTTTACAAATACAGGTAATATGCTTAGAAACTATTCTTGATAGTAAAAATAAATTGAATTTTTTTTATAGATACTTGTTATGTTCTGTCATTTGCTATTATTATGTTAAACACAAGTCTTCATAACCCTAGTGTCAAAGATAAACCATCAG